AGCAGAACATACTCTCTTCCCTTCTGCAGTCGGTACATCCCTTGGTCATGCGGCAGCTGTAGGAAGCCGATTTTTACGAGACGGCTGTGAAGATGCTGCTGCCAGAGCCGCGGGGCTTGCTTGATCCCGTATAGGGATTTTGTCAGTCGGCATATTTTCGTGGGGTCGTCGATGAATCCGTGGGGTTGTTCGACGAAGATCTCAGCGTCCACAGGTGCGTATAGAAACGCATTCGCGACATCGATTTGGCGTAGTGGTAGTGTTTTCGTGGCCGCGACGGCGAGTAGGATGCGTAATGAGGTGTGACGGGAGACTGGGGCGAAGGTTTCTGTGTAGTCGGTTCCGTATCGTTGATCGAAGCCTCGTACGACCCATCGAGCTTTGAATCGTTCGATGGAGCCGTCTGAGTTGGTCTTGATGCGGTACACCCATTTCCCCGAGAGAACGTTCTTCCCGTTGATGCTCGTTGCAGGTACCAGTTTCCATGTTTCTCGGTCTTGCAGAGCTTTTAACTCCTTTTCCATCGCTTCCTTCCATTTTGCCTTGTGTTCCCCCCCCAGAGCCTGCGACAAGGTTGAAGGCTCACGCGTAGAAGGCGGCGGCGGATGCTGGACGGAGACCCAGAGGCCTAGAATCTGGAGTCCCGTGGGTGTGTGTCGAGGGGAATTGTCATTCCCGGAATAAGCTGCTTCGTCACCGTCTTCGGGGTCAGGTAAGAAATTGGGGCCGATGCGTTCCGAAATATTCGTGTCGACGGGGTGAGGTGTAGCGTAACCTTGGTCGGTGAAGTGGTAAAAGGTGTCGAGGTTGTTGCTATCGAGGGGATTATCTTCATCGAGTGGAACAGGTACGGAACAGAATGGGAGTGGCCCGGCAGCTTCCGAGGCTCCAGGTACGTCTTCTTCTGCTGCGTCAGCTTCGGCAGCACGATCGGCGAAGGAACGAAGTCCCGAGAGGCCGTCGGTGGGGTCTTGTGTGTTGGCAAGGTTGTCCAGGTAATGCTGCAGAGTCAGTCGTTCGTAGAAGATAACGTCTCGTGATGCCACCGTGTTTTTGTCTTGTATGTCGAGAATTTTCCACGCGTGAAAATGTTTCGCGATGCCGAGGTGGAGTCCCCACCGAGCTCGTTGTGTGAAGCGTCCTGCTCGGGCTGTGTGGGGTCTGTACTGTACCATGCAGCCAAAGACTCTGAGTAATTTTGTGCTGCCCCTTTTTCTTGTCCACAACAGGTGCGGTGATGCGTTGTTGGGAAGTGATGACGAGGACAGCAGGTTGTGCAGGTGAACAGCATGTGTCATCGCGTCTGGCCACAGTGTGGTTGGCAGTCGCATCCCTGAAGCAGTTTTCGCATCGTCGTCTGCAAGGTCCGATTCATGCGTTCTGCTACCCCCTGCTGTTGGTGAGCATAGGGCAGGGACACCAGGCGTCTGATTCCCCTTTCCGCCAGATAGGTCCTGAAGCGTTGTGACTGGTATTCCAGTGCACCGTCTGACTGGAAGCTCTTGAGTTCGAGTCCTGATTCTCGTTCGGCGATGGGGAGCCATGTTGTGAAGGCTTCGAAGGCTTGGTCGCGCGTTTTGAGATTGAAGTGCCAGACATATCTGGTTGCGGCGTCGATGAAAGTGATGACGTAGTTAAAGTCGGCTTCGGCGTCGTCTCGAGGCATGTTTAAAATATCGCTGTAGACTTTTTCCATCGGAGCGTAAGTAGGTGCGCTTGGGTTGTGATGGGATGGAAAAGGTTGATGAGGAAGATCTGCTTCGGGGCATGTGAAGCACCGTGCGCGTGGTCGTCGAAGTTCTTGACCGCTCGTCGTCAGAAGGGCGTTGCGTTCTAACACCTCTGCTTGGATTGTTTGAAGTATTGTGCTGTTTGCAGGGTGTCCGAGGCGTTGGTGCCAGATGTCGTCGGGAGCACGGTGACCGGGCGAGCGGTGGTAGATGTCGGTGTTGGAGAAGAACGCGACGACCGAGGCGGGACTTCGACAAGCTTCGCGTGTGGCGGGCATAAGTTGGTCTGCTTCCGTTGGCGGTCCTCGTGTTGATGGTGGTGGTACTCGGCTGGGTCCTGCTGCCGATACTGCAGGTGATGGTTTTGTTGGGACACTTGCGGGTACTTGTCTTTCTTGTCTGATAACTGCTAATGCTCGTGTTCTCTCTGCTGCAGGTATGGTGTTGGAGTGCCAGAAGCCGTCACTGTCGAAGTCGGGATCAAGATCCGGCGGGTGAGTCCAGGCGGCGAACGATACGATGCCATCGCTGTCGGCAGTTCCGCGGTCGGGGACGAAGTCCAACACGAAGACACCGGACTTCAGGAGGGCACGACCGATGAAGAGGCCACCCTTCCCGTGGTAAAGCCGGAACTCGTTGGAGTAAGAGTCGCACTCCAGGTGAATCCCTTTGGCCATTAGTTGGCTTACGCTTAGTAGATTGTATCCCAGGTTGTCGACAATGAGCACTTTGTTGAGCTGCAGTATTACGTTTGTTTCCATGGATTGTAACTGAACCACGCCTTGTCTGTTTGTCTTCAGGTTTTCGTTGTTGGCGACTGTGATGACGACGTCGCGGTTGAGTCGTTTCTCCTGTTGCACGAAGCGTCCCGAGGAGCACATGTGTTGACCGCAGCAGCTGTCCAAGAACCAGGTATTTCGCCCGGTGGGTTCGGCGTTGGCGACTGCAGCGTATGTCGGGTTGACCTGAAGTCCTTGCGAGCGCGGCGGCGGGAATTCCTCTTCGTCTGGTGCGTAAGTGGGTGGTGAACCGGGTGCGCAGTTGTCGATGTGTACCATGCAGTTGATGATGTTGGGTGTTTGTTGTGCAGATGTTGAAGAGCGCCTTGGAGGACTTGCTTGAGTGGAAGCGACTTGTGGGTCTGCTGCACGGTAAACGCGAGGGCGGTTGCAGTTGACTTTGGAGTGCCCGGAAGTCTGGCAGTTGTGGCAGAACGGCGGTACGATGGTGAGTCCTCGGTTGTCGCGTTGATCTTGCTTGCTGCGTCGGTTGTAGTTGTTGTCATTTCTTCTTTGAGTGTAGAAGACTAACTGCTGTTGCTTCCTTGGTTGTCTTTCCTCGAACAGATCCATCTCCTGTTGTTCAGCGTGAAGCTCGGCGCAGAGGTGCATCTCCGAAATTCTTCCGTGGGCTCGAAGAAGTGATCGTGTGGTTCTCCATTCTGGCCCGAGCCCGGCGAGGACAAGTGTCACGAAGCTTTCTTCAGTGATCGTTCCTCCGCACCGAAGCAGGCGGTCGCGGAGGGTCTGGCAGCGACTCATATACTGCATCGCCTTTTCCCCGGTCTTCATCTGTATTGTTGTCAGCTGTTGCATGAGTCTGCTTTGTGTCACGCTGTCGTTTGCTTGGTAAAGGCACTTGAGGTGGTGCCATGCGAGCTCCGCGGAGTTTCCATAACTCCGATACGTTCTGATGCTCTGCTGCTCTTGTGGTGACAGGTTTCTCAGGAGTACCGTGTACGCCAGCAGCGACTGATACGTGAAGATCTCTTGTTCCTTCCCAGTGCCGTTGCTTGGGAATGGCAGGGACCCGTTGAAGTATCCCAGAAGATGCGCGGCCTCCATCAGCAGCTCGAACTCGAAGCTCCAGGTAAAGAAGTCGTGTCCGTTGAACGGTGAGGATGTCTGAAGTTTGATCACGTGTGAGAACTGCGCCTGTAAACTTAAGATTTCATTCGGTGTTTGTTGTGATGCAGCTGCTGTTGGCTGGGCACGGGGCGGCATGAATTCGAACGTCCCCGGCGAAGAATGATAAGGCGCAAAGGTAGGCGCTTGGTTGTGTCGCCCGAAGGATGAGTTGTCGAGGCTCATCGGCGCTAATCCCATATTCCCTCCATTGCTCTGTGTTGATTGCGCAGGTGTCCTTGTCTGCTGCTGCTGGTCGAAGTGTGACATGAAGCTGAAGAATCTCTCCATGAGATTCGGGTCCACACTTGAAGAGGGAGACGGAGTCACCATCTCTGGTACTCTTCCCGTTGTTTCTTGAGCAGTCCCGGTCTCTGTCTGCAGTCCTGAGGTGTGCAGACCAGAGTTGCCGTGTTGAGTTTCTTGGGCGCTGGGTGAGCCCGTAGAGACTTTCTTGCCCTTGTTGTCCATGTCTTGTAATCAATGGAGTTGTTGAATCAAGTTGAGTTGCTGGTTGTTGATGGAGTGTAGTTGCTGGGAGTTTGGTCTCTGACCAGCTCTCATACCATGTTGGGCTGAGAAAAGCCCTTAGGATCTTTTGCAGAGACTAAGTCCCAGCTGTAGAGACTTTCAGACTTTGGGTAGTGCAGCGGAAGTTGAGGCAGTTGAACCCTTGTACTAGTATGTGAGAACAAGTGATTGATTAAAGAAACAAGCATACAGCAATATATAGAAGATAAGAAAGCAGTTGCAGAGTACAGTTACAGGAACGGTTTATCGAGTCGCATAGCGACTCGATTGCCGCTTCGGTTACCATCCGTGATGCTGTAACGGTCAGTCGCAACCTCCAGTTGCGACCTTTCGGGTCTTTTCGCATTCTTTGTCCGCCCCCTCGTGTAACCTCCGTTGACTCGCGTGCTCCCCTGTAGTCTTCCTCGAGTGTAGTGTTACACTTCAGAAACGCTTAAGTTCTTTGAGATATTTCCAACACTCTTGTTCTTGCCTTGTCTGTACTCCTTCGGACTGGTCTCTCAGACCCTTGTCTCAGAGGTTGGACTAGTAGTGCCGCCCTGAGCTGCTTGTTTAGGTCATTCCCCTATGCAGTCTAGGGGGTGTGTCAAACATGTGTATTTGTCATGTTTGTATAGACTGTATAGGGTAGCCTCTTAGAGGGTACAACACTTAGGTATATCTGTGTGTACCCTCTCTCTAACATTATTCACTTCTTCAATTTCTGATAGATGCTACCTACGCGTGATACCATATCAGAAATTGAAGAAGTGAATAATGTTAGAGAGAGGGTACACACAGATATACCTAAGTGTTGTACCCTCTAAGAGGCTACCCTATAGTCTATACAAACATGACAAATACACATGTTTGACAGTTTGGAGTCATATAGATATACTTGGTATAAGTCATTTGACATCACATTTATGAGTTGCCAACAAGGGCGTATCCTATCCTCTCCTCGCCACTGCACTTCAGTACAGACTTCCACCGAACTGAACCATGCAATTAAACATTTGCACTGACAGTACCACTTCGGCAGGGGGCAAGCCTGTACTGAGGTGCAGGGACACACCACACAGCTTTATTGAACAACACAAATATAGTGCCCCCTGTAGAATCCACACCGTTACCGTATGTGTACCGCTCTTCAGCCTTCATTACCCACCTGTTGAAAAAGCTGCACTCCTTCACCTTCAACCCATCCTCCCCCTCCCCCTCCCCCCTTCACAGACTGTTGCTCTCCCAGGCATGCTTCCCCCATTCTTCCCGCCCTTCCACCCCCATGCCCTCCTTACCCCCCCCTCTTCCCCCTCCCCCTGCGCCCTCCCCCCCCGGAGCGGATCCCAGTAGCGCTCTTGGGCTGCTGAAGTGCGCGAGCACGCGGCCGAGGGGGGAGAGCATTCCAGGGGAGAGCATGCGGGGTGAGACGGTGCGGGGGAGGGGGGAGAGGTTGGGGCCGCGGGAGGAGGGGGAGATGGTGCAAGAGCGGGGGGAGCGGTAGGGGGAGAAGGCGGAGCGGGGCTGCTTGGCTTTGAGGGAGGGGCGGGGCGGCGCCTTGATGGTGAGCCCCTTGAGGTGCGCCGCACGCCCCTTCACGCCCGCACAGATGCCCCTCTCCCTCGTGGTGCCACAGGGGGACATGCTGCGGCAGGCAGTGAGGCCGCTGCTGCCCTGAGCCACGTGGGATGGTGGCGCACATACTGCTGCTGCTGCTGCCCGTGCTCTCGCTCCCTCCACACTCTCACTCTCAAGCACCCCCGTTCTCCCCTCCACCCCACCCACTGCACCCTCCCTCTCCCCCTCTGTGCCGCGCCCCTTGCCCCTCTCCCCCAGGCGTGATGGCTGCCTCTGGCTGCTGCTGAACAGAGCCCGCCGCCCCCTGCTCTCGCCCCTCTCACCCCTCTCGCCCCTCTCGCCCCGCTCCCCGCGCCCGGAAGCACCCGGGCCGCAGGGGGTGGAGGAGGTGGAGGCCTGGCAGGGGGAGTCCTGGGCCGGCAAGAAAGCGAGGGAGGTGGCATACGGGGGCAGGGAGCAGGGGGAGGCCTTATCTGGAGGCGGGGAGTATGCAGAGAAGGTCTTATCCGGTGACGAGTCAATGAGGGGCGGTCCATAGGCAACATGCGTGCCTCTCTCACCCCCTCCCTCTTCCACGGCCCCACAGCTGCTGCTCGCGCCCCCTGTGCCTTCCCCATGTGCACCTGCTCCCATCCCCTCATTCCCTCCGCCTCTCCCCCCTTCCCGTCCTACACTTTCCCCCTCCGCCCCCCCCCCTGCCCCCTCCAGCAGCGGCGAGTGGGCGCACTGCTCCAGGGCCGCCTGGGTGCCGGGGGAATCAGGTAGAGCGAAGGAGGCGGACGAGGGGAAGGCAGCAGGCAGGGGGAAGGGCAGGGGCGAAGGGGAAGACGCCGCCATGCGCATCTCTTCTGCCTCCTCCCCGCCTGCCGCTGCCAGTGCTGCCAGGTGGCCTGACCCCCCTCCGCCCGTCCCTGCAGCGGCAGCAAGGGTGGCGGTGGCGGCAGCAGCGGCCGCAATGGTGGCGGCGGCAGCAGCGGCGGGGGGGAAGAGCTTGAAAGGGTCGAGGAGAGGCCCGGCGGCGATGGCAGATAGGGTGGGTCCGGGCGAGAGGGAGAAGGGGCTCATGAGCGGACCGAATAGAGGGTCCGCTGGGGGGGGGAGGAGGGGGAGGGAGAAAGAAAGAGAGCAGAGAAGGATGTTGATGTTGAATGAAGCAGCTGGGATGGGAGAGAAGGATGCAAGACAGGTGTGGGAGAACGAGGGGGAAGAGCAAGCGGAGAGCAGAGGGGAGGGGAGCAATAGCGGTGGAAGTATGTGGGGGAGAGGCGAGAGGCGAGAGGCAGACCTAGAGGGGAGTTGAAGGGCGACAGGCTGCCGTGGAATGCCTCGTCCGACAAGAAGGGCGACAGCTGCTGGTTATGCTGCTGCTGCTGCGGCTGCGGCTGTGGCTGCTGCTGCTGCTGGCGCGGAAACTGCTGCAGATGCCGATGCTGATGCTGGGAAGATTTGACGTGAGCGAGTGGGTGGGCGTTGAAAAGGGGGTCGCCCGAGAACCCTTCACTACAGCCTTTGACATCCACCCCGCCATCCCCTTCCCCATGCCCATGCCCATGCCCATGCCCATGCCCATGGTGTGGCACTGGTTGCCTGGCCACCCCATCCATCGCCCCTTCGCCTTCTGTCTCCATCTTCACCACAGCCTGCAGAGGCTGCTGCCACGTGCACTGCTCCGATTGGACAAGGACTTCAGCCGCCTGCTCTGGTATTTGCTGCAAGGGCTGGTGGTGGAGCAGCAGGGACTGGTCTGCGGGTATTTGCTGCACGGAAGAGAGCAGGCAGAAAAGGAGAGAGGAGAAGGATGACACGGGATGGATGAGTTTTGGTGAAGACGCACCAGGGAGTGGTCTGCGGGTACCTGCTGCACTAAGAGCAGGCAGGAAACGGAGAGAGGGGGAGAGGAAGTCGAGGGAAAGAGTGAAGGAGACGTGATGTGGGTCCAGAAGGAGCCTGCCAAGTGGAGTCGCAGCAGCATGGCCGTACCTACTGCGACCGGCACACCTATTAACTACTGCATACCATTGCACTGGCATCCATGTCTGTCGCTGCTGCCCCCTCTCCCCTCTCGCCCGCCACGTATCCCGCGCCCTGCATGCGCGGGGCTAGATCGCCATCACCAGAGGGGCGGCTGTAGCCTTGGTTGTAGCTCAGGTGGTAGCCTTGGCTGTGGCTCTGAGTGTTGGGCGGCAGAGTGGCGGGAGCGTGGGGCGCGGAGAGGAGGGTAGCGGAGGAGGGGAAGACGAGGGGCGTGGTGAGGAAGTGGGAGAAGGAGCCGGGGGGGTGCGCTGCTGCCTCGGGGGCAGAGGGAGCGAACAGCACAGGAGGGGCAGGAGGCGCATATGGAGCAGAGGCAGCAGGGGGAGCAGGAGGGGTGAGGGCAGGAGTGGGAAGAGCAGCAGCTGTAACGCTGCAGCCACTGCCACTCCTCTCCATCCACGTCTCCCTTGGGATCAACATCTGCCCGCTGCTGACGTGGCAGCCACTGCTGCCGGCCATGGGCGAATCTAGGGAAGGAGGCGCAGCAGGGGTAGGGGCAGCTGAACGTGGCAGTAGGGAGGGGGAGGGTCGTGCAGTAATGGCAGGGGAGCCGTGCGCCGACACGTTCGTTGAGCCCACTGTGCCGGTTGGCGATGGTGCTGACGTGGAGAAAGCGCGAGGCGACGGTGATGGCATGCCCCCCGTTGCTGCTGCCGCCCGGGGGGAGGGGGTGTGCGCCACGCCCCCCGTGGGGGAAGGGATGGGGAGAGAGGGCGTGGGCGGGAGCGAATGAGGCTTGTGGGGGCCTTGAGGGGAGGGGAGCAGCGAGGAGGGGGAGGGGCAGAGAAGGGGCGCAGAGGGCGACGGGCACATGCGCCAGGAGGGCAGCTCATGCGCCACGTCAGCGGGCGGCGAGGTGATGAACTCGTGGCTGGCCTTGCTGCGCCACCGGCGGGGCGCGGGGGAGAGGGAGGAGGGCGGCGGGAAGAGAAGGGGCCTGCGGGGGGGAAGGGGAGAAGGGGAGAAGGGGAGAAGGGGAGGAGAGGAGATGGTTGAGTGGGGCAGCAAGGAAGGGGAGGAGGGGCTCGACAAGCACGGGGGAGGACAGATGGAGAGTGAGGAAAAGGCGAGAAGCGGCTCACCCAGAAGGGACCTGCACGGGTGCAAGGAAGGCGAGCTTGGACGGAAGCTGCAGGCCGTTGGACGCCAGGTGCAGCCCCTGAGCCCCCGCGCTGCCATGGCTCGTGCTGCCGCTGCTCGCGTTGCTCCCGCCCCCGCCGCCCCCCCTGCCAGCAGCAGCACCGGACGGAGCACCAGCAGTACGCGACCGCTTGCGAGAGATGCTGCAGAGGGGATGGGGGGGGGGATGGGGTGAGAGAGCCACAATATCAGGTGGGCGCTTGTGAGCGCAGGAGAGGGGTTGTTCACAGTGGCAGAGGCAACTAGGAAGTGGTTGAGACAGCAAGTGCTCGGGTCTGATGCGTGGGTGGCAGGGTGGAGCAGGGAGAGGGGCGGGTACCTGCGGATGGCTGGAGAGTAGCCGGGCGCCACAAGCAGCGGCGAGCCGTCATCGTTGAGGAGGTCGGGGGCGTTGAGCGGCGTGGCGGCGGTGAAGCACACAGCGAAGAGGCGGTTGTCGCACTTGGACGACAGCACCGACAGGGCCAGCTTGAAGGTGGCGCGGCCTGAGGGGGATGGGGGGAGAGAGAAGAAGGGAAGTGGGGAGATGGAATGGCGGCATAGACGAGGGCAAGGAAGGGGGAAAGGGCAAGGAGAGGGGGAAGGGCATCAGAAGAAAGGAGAGGCGAAGCAAGACGCGGAGAAGGGGCACGGAGTTGTCGTTGTAGCATGTGCAAGGCAAGGCACCTGCGAGCATGACCGCAGCAGCATGAGCGCACCTTGCAGCATCTGCGAGGGGCGCAGGTGCGCGGGGAACTCGACGCCGTTGAACGTGGTGAAGAGCGGCGGCTCCACCATCGCCTGCCCCTCCTCCAGCTTCACCGAGCTGCCCAGGTGTGGCAGGGAGGGCGAGCGGGGAGGGAGAGAGGGGGCAGGGGAAGGGAGGGAGAAGGGCGGTGGAGAAGGCGATGGTGAGGGATGGGGAGTTGGAGGAGGCGATATTGGGGCAGATGCGGGAAGGAGAGAGAGGCGCAAAGCGGAAGGACGAGTAGGCATATGCATGCATGCGTGTGCGCGTGTGAGAAAGAGAGACAGAGACACAGAGCGAGAGAGGGGAGGAGATGGGGAGGAGGAGAGCGAGGGAGCACCTGCAGTCGTGCGAGTAGGTGAGGGAGGCGGTGACAGCGAGGTCCTTGCTCACCGGGTTACCCTGCTCGCATGGGCACGGGGGCACGGGGCAGGGAATAGGGAGCGGAGATCAGGAGAGGGGTAGAGGGCGGGGTGAAGGGCAGACGATACGGGGCAGCAACAGCGCGGCTCACATGCTGACCCCATCCCAACTGCCTCACGCTCGTCCCCCGTCACCCCTCTTTTCGCTGCTGCACGCACCTGCTCGGCCGTCAGCTGCACGCACCTGCTCGGCCGTCAGCTGCACGCACCTGCTCGTCCGTCAGCTGCACGTGGAGGACGAACTTCCGCCGGCACGACGCCTTGCCGCCCAGCACCGACATCACCTGCGCGACACACGCCAGCCATTATCACGCCACGTCAGATATCACGGTAGCACTGCATACTTCGACAATTCAAGGCGTAAGTGCGACGCTGCGCACACGCGCCGTCGCGAGGGCGTCCTGATCGCGCGCGCGCACAATGGGCGGGCGGCGTACCTCGGGCGAGCCGGGGCTGGCGTGGCCGTCCTTGCTGGGGCTGCTCACGACCAGGCGGTGCGTCGATGCCGCCGTGGCAGGCGCCGCGAGTTGCGGGGCATCCATGGCGGGCTCCATGGCGTTGGACGTCACGCTGACAGCGCTGCGTCACGCTGACAGCGCTGCGTCACACCATGCTTTCGGGAGATCCCGCGCGGCCGCTGACGCGTGCTGCCGCTACTAGCTCTGCTAGAGACGAGAGAGCGGCGAGAGCGGCGAGCGCGGCGAGCGTGGAGAGCTCGATGCTTGCGAGCGGAGAGACGCGAGTCTAAGGGCCGCGAGAAGAGGTGGCGCAATGGGAGGAGGAGGATGGCGTTCGGCTGAAGCAATGCGTGATTGAGAGCAGCGCCGTGCCATTTAGAGCACGCGAGCACGCCGACGACAGCAAGACCCGAGAGCCCGGCCTCCGAGGGAGCGGGAGAAACGCGACGAAGGGTACTAACTGGCAACGCTGGGGCAGAAGCGACACGAGGAGTGCCGACGACAAACGGATGGCAGCGAAGGCGTGACCGACGCGGTGAGCGAACGCGTGGCAGGTCCGAGGCACGAGAGGCGCCACAGGATAGTTTGACGACATCGCCCGTTATTCGCGCGCTGAACGACCGCTGTAGTCTTGAGGGGAGGGCTCGGAGGTTGCGGCGAGAGGCGGTTCGGTAGGAAAGGATTGAGAGCTGTAAGGGAGTGCGACAAGCGAGTGCAACGGCTAGTGTGTGGAGGCGAGGAGCAGGGATGGGGAATGCAGCAGAGCAGCCATTGCCGACGGCGTGTCGGCAGAGAGGTAAGTGGACCAATCGCGGGGCGAGTCAAACTGCGAAAATGCAGCGAACGGATGCGAAAAGTGAAAAAAGGCATCACAGACAGGCGAGATTTTTCGGTAATGCACCGCGACTCGTTTTGGGGGGTAGGGGGCCTTCACAGCCACACGATATGTATGGTTGATGGTAGAAGGTAACCTCCTTCGAGTCCACGTGGCTTCAAATGTGAGGGTCTCCTCAAGAACCTCATCTCCTCGGGGTTCGCCGATGCAGCCAGTGGGCTGAGCGCTTCCACCAAATATCCCTCAAACCAGCTCAGTTTCACCTAAGGCCGGCGGAAATATCGTGAATATCGAGCTAGCGAATGTGCACTGCAAACAAACAAAACATTGGGATCAAAATGAAGTTCGCTGTCCTGTATATCGAGTACGGAAGCTCTGGCTGCTGTTTTGCCTTGTCACCAGGAATTGCATCTAGACGGTTTCCGCCTGCGGTTGAGCAGTGCCGCTTGTATGGATGGAATCCCACGCTCTTCTCGCCACAATGCCACGACCAGTCTGCCCGCCCGCCTCTGGAATTGCTTTCCCGCCGACCTCCTGAAACGGCGGTCGCATTTCGCCTCCTTCCCGAGTCCTGGCGACAGTTAGCAGGCGACAGCACGGGCAGTGAGAGACGACACGCGAGGCAGCAGGCACGGGCGCAAGCCACGTCCTGTACGGAGCACGCGCTGGCCGTTGGCCGTCCGCCATTCGTCGTTCGCCACATGTCATTCGTCACCAACCTTTGACGCCCACGGCCAGCCGTCCTTGCTGTTGAGTTTCTTCGCCGCTGCCCTGCTGACTGCCTGCGGGACTCTGGCCACAGCGTCGGTGAGACGACGCTACTAGGGCGAAAGCACGGTGCGAAACACTAGTACCGGGAGCCGGCTGCGCTCCCCTCCCCCTCCACCCCCCTTTGGCTCCGCCCTCCGCCCTCCGCCCTCCGCCATCCGTCATCCGCCCTCGACCCATCCATGTCTCTCTGCGTCGCGCCCCCTCCAACTGCGACTCTGCTGTCTCGCACCTCTCGCTTACCACTTCGCCACTCTTCGCCACGACAGCTTCAGCAGTTTGACTGGTAACTCTCGCAGCCGCGAGCACTATCTCGCAGACAGCCTGTCGGGTGCAAGCTCAGTTAGCGCTTGCGGACCGACGGACTCAGCCCAATCGGTACCTTGGATCTCAAATCCCACACTAACGCAATCCCCTCCACTCTTCCTTGCTCTTCCGCTGCCCTCCCCCCCCTCCGCTCTGCCCTCCCCCGCTCTCCCCTCCTCCCGCTCTGCCCTCCCTCCGCCAGCGCGCGTGGCGCAACTCGTCCGCCCTCCGCATGGGTGCGCCAGCCGCAGCTCTGGGCGCCGCTGCAGCGGCTTCCCGGGCATGGCAGAGGCGAGGGGGAGGGGGAGAGTGTGTGGACACGGGGGAGGAGAAGCATTGGGGGAACGAGGGGGGGAGTGGCGCGGGCAAGCAGTGGCGGAGGGGAAGAGAAGGGCGCAGTTGGGGTGGCGGATGAGGGGGAGCGAATGAGCACCACTCAGGTCTGTATGGCGTTGGCGTGCATCGTGTATGCCTTGCCACACGCTCTCCATCGCACCCGCATACACACACTCCCACACACACTCTCTCTCTCCCGTTGCTCCCCGCATTCTCCCCACCTGCCTGCCTGCCTTGCTCTCTCCCGCGTCCCCCCTCTCGCCAGCGCATCATGTCATCGCTGCCAGCGGGGCAGCAGGCGGGGGGCGCGGGGGGGCAGGTGTCGTATGCTGACCTGCAGAGGGCCGATGCCGCCTGGCGTGCACTGCGCACCACACCGCCTGGTGAGCTGCCGGGCTCCTGGGCTGCTGCAGCGCATCACAGCTGGCCCACCCCCATGCCCCACCCCCATGCCCCATCCCCATGGCCCATCCCCATGCGACTTGAGCATTTTACCCGGTCGGGTCGCGGGTACCCGACCCGACCCGACATTTTGGCCGGGTCGGGTAATAGGATTTTGACGAATTACCCGGCCGGGTCGGGTCGGGTACTCAGGCCGGGTAATGCATACCCGTTACCCGAGAATTACCCGAAATGTCGGGTAATTTATTACCCGTCGGGTCGCGGGTACCCGACCCGACTTTGGGTTTGTTACTCTGGGTTTGCTGAATTTTACAGCCACCTAGGGGTACGCGGGTAATATTACCCGACTTCAATTAAATGCGGGTCGGGTATACCCGACCCGACAGACGGGTACCCAATTACCCGGTATTAAAATGTCGGGTCGGGTAACAGACCTCCAAACATTACCCGGAAATTACCCGACCCGACCCGACCCGGACCCGATTGCGGGTAGGGCAAAACCGGGTCGGGTCGGGTAATTACCCGGTTTTGCTCATGTCCCATCCCATGCCCCATCCCCATGGTCCATCCACATGCCCCATCCCCGTGCCCCATCCCATGCCCCATCCCCATGGCCCATCCCCATGGCCCATCCCCATGGCCCATCCCCATGGCCCATCCCCATGGTCCTTGTTCTAAGAATGCCCCTCCCATGCCTCCGCCACGCCATGTCAGGTGCGCCCACAGCTCCCGCGCCTCAAGTCGTCAAGCGCAAGCCGGGCTCCTGCCTCTCCGCCGCACCTTCCAGGGAAGCCGGGAGCACAGGCAGCAGCGACAGTGGTGGCGCAGGAGGGAAGGGGGCGGTGGATGTGGACGTGGCGGTGTGTGGGGGCACGCTGGGCGTGTTCGTGGCCACCAGCCTGGCGCTGAGGGGGAAGAGAGTGGCCATCGTGGAGCGAGGGGCACTCAGAGGGGTGCGTGGGGCCAGGGGAAGGAGAGGGTTTAGGTGGAGCGAGAGAGAGTGAGAGGGGTGCGTGGTGCAAGCAAGGGAGTGGAGGGTGTTAGGCGCACTCCAGCAGCATTGGAACGGCGTGTCTGCTGGGCTTACTGCATGGGGCGATGCACAACGAGCTGTACCCCCATTCCCACACTCCGCCAGCAAATAGAAAAAATCCCCTGAACCGTTTTTGCACCTCTGTCCCCACTCGTTGGCCCCTGCCTCGCCCACCTGCCCCCCCCCTGTCTGTGGTTGGCAGCGTGCGCAGGAGTGGAACGTGTCGCGGCGGGAGGTGCAGGAGCTGGTGGCGCTGGGCGTGCTGACGGCGGGCGAGGTGGAGGACGCCATCGCCGTGGCCTTCAACCCGGTGAGCTGCCTTGTTGGCGGGCTGGGACTTGGCGGTCCAATCATGGGCAGAGAAAGACACAGAGGAGAAAGCGCTTCATATCAAGGCGAGTGAGGCGCAGGGGCGCTGCTCACTGGCATGAGTGCATCCTCAGGTTGCGGGGTGCTGTGCAGCTGGGGAACATCAGTTGTGGTGCTGAGAGATGCACCTCATGTGCGACTAGCACCATTCCAAGCACTCCTTCATCTTAAAACCCTTGCCACACCGTTTCTCTGTATTGTCCCCTCCTCTCCTCTCCACTGCGGTGCTGCCAGTGCCGCTGTGGCTTTGCAGGAGGCGAGGACATCTGGGTGTCGGACATCCTCAACCTCGGCGTTTCGTCAGTGCCCTCCCCCCCACCCATGCCATGCCACTTTACAATTGTCCTTTGTGGTGCACGAGCATAACAGCTGCGCGGCCTCTGTGTTCGTTGGACATTCTCATCACCGTTTGACGCACATTGCTGTCTTCTAATATTCCTCACCAACGACCATATTCCTCACCAACGACCAATGACCAATGTCCAGTGTCCACAGTCTGCTGATAGCATCTGCATCTGCATCGGATCGAATCAACCGTTGTGATGGCGCCTCGTGTGCTCACCTTTCTCCAATGCCTGCCCGTCCGCGTGCTGCCTGCAGCCCAGCGCGCCTGGTGGAGGCAGCGAAGCAGCGCTTTGTGTCGCTGGGAGGGGTGCTCCTGGAGGGGGTGGCGCTGGCGTCCATCCATGTGCACGACGACGCCGCGGTGCGTGCATTTGCGCCATGGTGGTGCAGCAGTGCATGAATGCATGCGCAGCGTGATGTTGCATTGCATCGTGCTTACGGATGTGCCACAACCATACCTGGTGGTGCGCCCATGTCCTTACCACCCCCACTGCTGCGCATTCTCCCATCCTCACACGCCACCACCCAGTGCTCGTCCATGCAGCGCCTCTCAGCCCATTCCCCCTTTTGAGGCGCCTCAAAAGGCCTCTCAGCCCATTCCCCCTTTTGAGGCGCCTCAAAAGGCCTCTCAGCCCATTCCCCCTTTTGAGGCGCCTCAAAAGGCCTCTCAGCCCATTCCCCCTTTTGAGGCGCCTCAAAAGGCCTCTCAGCCCATTCCCCCTTTTGAGGCGCCTCAAAAGGCCTCTCAGCCCATTCCCCCTTTTGAGGCGCCTCAAAAGGCCTCTCAGCCCATTCCCCCTTTTGAGGCGCCTCAAAAGGCCTCTCAGCCCATTCCCCCTTTTGAGGCGCCTCAAAAGGCCTCTCAGCCCATTCCCCCTTTTGAGGCGCCTCAAAAGGCCTCTCAGCCCATTCCCCCTTTTGAGGCGCCTCAAAAGGCCTCTCAGCCCATTCCCCCTTTTGAGGCGCCTCAAAAGGCCTCTCAGCCCATTCCCCCTTTTGAGGCGCCTCAAAAGGCCTCTCAGCCCATTCCCCCTTTTGAGGCGCCTCAAAAGGCCTCTCAGCCCATTCCCCCTTTTGAGGCGCCTCAAAAGGCCTCTCAGCCCATTCCCCCTTTTGAGGCGCCTCAAAAGGCCTCTCAGCCCATTCCCCCTCGCCTTCTTCTCCAGGTGCTCTCCTTTGAGGACCCGTCCCGCCCGCCCCTCACCACCCGCCTCGTGGTGGACGCCATGGGGCATGCCTCGCCCATCGTCCGCCAGGTGACGCCCTTCACTTGGAAGAATAGCACACCGGTGAATTTTGCCCCAGATTGACACAGGCCATCAGCTCTCATCACGTCATGGTATTTGACAAGAGTTTAATCAAAGATATGTTCGCCCTGGGTCAATCGTTCAGTATACGTTTGCAAGAGTCCATGTTGTCTCATTGGCATTTTCCATGTGCGTGCATCAGGTGCGGTGGGGCCAGAAGCCAGACGGCATCTGCCTGGTGGTGGGCACGTGTGCGCGCGGCTTCCCCCCCGAGGCCAACAGCACGGGGGACATCATCTGCACCACTGGCCCCACCATCACCATCGGCCAGTCGCCGCTGCAGCTCTTCTGGGAGGTGCGCCCCTGTCGTCCCTACTGGAATTGAGCCAACGTGAATCATAGGTGGACTCTAAATCTCAACAGCCACTGCGCCATCTTTCCCATAAGCCAGTTCTCATCACACAAGTGCCGCCCAAAGCGGACTTGTTCCCGACCACCTCCCACTGCATGTGCGCCCCTCCCTGCCCCAGGCGTTCCCATCGGGGTCGGGCCCCAGTGACCGCACGACGTACATGTTCTCATACATGGACGCCCAACCCGAGAGGCCGTCGCTGGAAGCCATGCTGGAGCTCTACTGGCGGCTCATGCCACAGTACCAGGTGCAAGCACACTGGCACAACACATGGCCTTACTAGCACAGCCTATACAAGTAAACCATGTGTGGCAGGGCATTGACTCCATTGACTGCATGTTCGCCAGGGCGTTGACTCCGTTGACTGCATGTGTGGCAGGGCGTTGAGTCCGTTGACTGCATGTGTGGCTGGGAGTTGACTCCGTTGACTGCATGTGTGGCAGGGCGTTGACTCCGTTGACTGCATGTGTGGCAGGACGTTGACTCCGTTGACTGCATGTGTGGCAGGGCATTGACTCCATTGACTCGGTGGCAGTCCAGCGGGTGCTCTTCGGCTTCTTCCCCACCTTCCGTGACAGCCCTCTCCGCCCCGCCTTTGATCGCGTCATCCAGGTGCCCTCACCTCACCCCACCTCTTGCGTTGGGTAACTAAAAAAGAAATCGCACAGTTTAAAGAGGTTTTTCTTCTTCTTCTTCTTCTTCTTCTTCTTCTTCTTCTTTTTCCCCGCGATCGTGATAGAAAAAGGCTTTCATTTTTTACGATAAAGGAAGAGTCTGACAATTCAGCCCGATTGTCTTCCTCCTAATTCCCAGTCACCATGTTTCACATGCGCTGCCTGCCTTGCCATGTGCCGTGTGTGCCCTGCGCCGCATGCCGTGCGAGCAGGTGGGCGATGCCAGCGGCATCCAGTCACCGCTGTCCTTCGGTGGTTTTGGAGCCATCACCCGCCACCTGCCGCGCATCACAGATGGTCAGTGCCATGGTGCTGGTGCTGGCCACTCATGTGCTATGCAATGCAATCACATGCCATGCAATCACATGCCATGGTACACCACCACATGTTGCCGTTCTTCTCTCATATTGCCCATGCCGCACCTCCAGTTCCCGTTGCTTTGTGTGCTGCCAACCCCTCCCACCCCCACCCCAGGTCTGGTGGACGCCTTGGATGGCGACCTGCTCTCTCGCAATGCACTTGCATGCATCAACCCGTACCAGGTGCACCAACCCGTATCAGGTGCATCAACCCGTACTAGGTGCATCAACCCGTACCAGGTGCATCAACCCGTACCAGGTGCATCAACCCATACCAGGTGCACCTGAACGCACACACACCATTTCAGTGGCACAGTTCCTACATCTGTCCACCGCAGGTCCATAGGCACCAAATATGGAAACTGTTTCCTAGACCCTCTGCTCTTTATGACCCTCTTCTCTCACCCTATCCCCCTCCTGCCCTTCCCCCTCCCCCCCCCTCTTTCCCCCCTCCCCTGGCAGCCGAACCTGAGCGGGGCGTGGCTGCTGCAGCGCGCCATGTCAGCGCGGGTGGGGTCGTCCCCCCCGCCTGACTTCATCAACAACCTGCTCGCCACCAATTTCGCTTGCATGCAGGTCATCATGCGATGGTGGTGGTGATGCTGGTGATTGTGGTGATGGTGATGGTGATGGTGGTTGTGGTGGTGATGCCATAGCTGCGTGTGCTCACATTCTTTTCAATTCTCTTCCCATCCGTGTCATGCTCCATCCAGTTCACCTACCTCACTTGGTCTTTCTATCTCCCACCTCCATCATCCCCCTTTCCTTCTCCGTCTCGATTCTCCTCCCCCCCATCCCCTGCATCCATCCCCTGCATCCATCCCCTGCATCCATCCCCTGCATCCATCCCCTGCATCCATCCCCTGCATCCATCCCCTGCATCCATCCCCTGCATCCATCCCCTGCATCCATCCCCTGCATCCATCCCCTGCATCCATCCCCTGCATCCATCCCCTGCATCCATCCCCTGCATCCATCCCCTGCATCCATCCCCTGCATCCATCCCTGCATCCATCCCCTGCATCCATCCCCTGCATCCATCCCCTGCATCCATCCCCTGCATCCATCCCCTGCATCCATCCCCTGCATCCATCCCCTGCATCCATCCCCTGCATCCATCCCCTGCATCCATCCCCTGCATCCATCCCCTGCATCCATCCCCTGCATCCATCCCCTGCATCCATCCCCTGCATCCATCCCCTGCATCCATCCCCTGCATCCATCCCCTGCATCCATCCCCTGCATCCATCCCCTGCATCCATCCCCTGCATCCATCCCCTGCATCCATCCCCTGCATCCATCCCCTGCATCCATCCCCTGCATCCATCCCCTGCATCCATCCCCTGCATCCATCCCCTGCATCCATCCCCTGCATCCATCCCCTGCATCCATCCCCTGCATCCATCCCCTGCATCCATCCCCTGCATCCATCCCCATCTCTCCCTCCTCCAGAAACTAGGCGATCCGGTCCTGCGCCCCTTCCTCCAGGTCTGTGGCGCCCTGTCGTACGAGAATTGTGGCAACGCATTGCTTGAGCGTTGAGTGTCGCGTGTGTCACTTCTAAGGCAGCAGTGCCCATGCCAACAACCAGCCGCATGCCATTCGTTCCTCGTTGCCGTGCCACAGACCCACACTCCACATCCTGCCCTTCTCATTTCCGTCACCCACTTACCTATCTTCCCCTTCCCCCTTCTCCCACCCCCCCCCCCCCCCCCCCCCCCCCGACCCTTGCGTGCAGGACGTGACGCAGTTCGCCCCTCTGGCGCTCACCATGGGCTCCATGGTCGTCTCGCGCCCCTCTCTGCTGCCCACCATCTTCTTGCAGGTCAGCCAGCTTGCCATGCCATGCCATGCCATGCCCTATCGCTTGTCCCGCCTCAAGAACTGCCTGCAGAGCTCCCTCACGGGTGGCGCCATGACGTGTTGATGCCAATCCCGTGGTGCCAGCCCTGGCATCCATGTCCCGCTGCCTCGTCCCTCTCACACCGCCGCCTCGTCCCTCTCACACCTCCGCCCCACCTTTCACTCTTCCCCTCCCCCCTCCAGGTGGGCCCCATCCCGCTGCTGGACTGGCTGCTGCACTTCACCACCCTCGCTGCCTTCTCAGCACTGCACCAACTCGCCTCCGCCCTCTCCCTCAGGTGCCCCTCTCCCTCGGGTGCCCATGCTGCCCCCTGCTGCTGCCTTGTGCTCTGTCTGCTCGCTGCATGCATACCTTGCACTCCTCCCAGCATTCTCAGCTACATCCGATCGCTCATATCCCCCTCTTCTCCCCGTCTGCCTACCCCCCTGCCCCCCCTATGCTGCTCCCTCTGCCCACACCCTGTGCTCCCTCCTCTGCCCAACCCCCTCTGCTCCCCCCTCCACTTCCGTCCTCCCCTCTATTCCCCAGCGAGGCCGTCGCCTCTCTGCCGCCCCGCCAGCGCTTCTTCTGGCGCCGCCGGCTGGAGGCATGGGAGTTCGGATCGGGGCTGGACTACAAGCTCTAGTGAATTCTGGTCCGGAACCAGGTTGTACAAGACAGACAACTTATACTTTTCAACCAGAATGCATATTTTTTTATTCAAAATCTAGACATTTCCAACCTCAAATAAACAGGGGTTGCTCATCCCCAATGAGACTTAAACGGAAACCTACGTTTGAATACTCACAAGCTAGCTCGAGTCACCTAGTGCTACACGTAACACCAGTCAGAGCAGCATGGGTGGCAGGGGAGTGAGGGGTTGGCGCACGACGTCGTCCTGGTGGGCGAAGGAGGGGTTGAGGAACGACAGCAGCCCCTCCCTCAGCAGCACTGGGCCCCAGGGGGTGTGCGCCACACACTCGGGGCGCGGCACAGGGGCGCGGGGGGAGGTGGTGAGCGGCTGGTGGGAGGAGCTGTCGTTGGGGTGGTGGGGGGAGGGGGGTCTCATCATGAAGGCCCGCGTAGGGTGCTGACAGTGGGCAGCAGCAGCGGGCGGCAGGTCGATGGCTTTGAGCCAGCCCTTGAGGCGGAAGAGCGCCTCCAGCTTGCCGTGCACGTCTGAGCCGTGCGTTGTTATCTGCACGCGCCGCACCACACGCTGCACTGCAGGGGGCAGGGGAGGGGAGAGAGGAGGGGGAGGATGGGTACGGTGAGCCAAGGAGACGGCCCTTCTTCCTGAGCTGGCTGCCATACCATCCCAACCCAACCCAGCATCGACGCTTGACTCAACCAAATTCTAGCAACAAAAGGCTAGAACAGGAGTTAGAGCAGGGGCCACAGGGAAGGGCAGAGGGGTGGCGTGAAAAACACGTCACTCGCAGAGCATGGAAGCATTTGGGCCCATAACGTTACCCTGCCACTGCAGCAGTGCACTGACCGTGGGCGAAGGCGTCGGGGTCATCGAAGGCAAACTTCTCGGCGCGGTCGGCGTCGATGTCCAGCAGGTCGCAGCGCGCCACCCTGCGCAGCACATCGCCCACCGTCACCCACCGCCCCGGCTCCCTCTCCTGCACCTCGCCGCCTCCTGCTCACAGAGGGCGTGGGGTGGTGAAGCACGTGGAGCAGCAAGCATGAAGAGTGCATGGCCGAATGGCATATGGCAGGAGGGTGATGCAGGGCGCAGGGCGAGGAGGGCTTGAAGGAGGGGACGGAAACGGAAGGGCGAATGTCCAGCAGGGAACACGGGGAGGCGAGTGACGGGTGTGTGGCATTACCCAGGGGAAAGGGAATGAGAGTGAAGTGTGTGACGGCGTTGAGGCGCGCCAGGGCTTGCAGCTGCTTGGGCATGGCGGGGTGCACCACCACCAGCGCCATGGACTGGGACGGGTGCAGCTGGCTGCAGGGAGAGGAGGGTGCAGAGGAGATGGGACGGCAGAGGAACAACATGGAACCCGAGGGAGTGTCAAGTCAACGAGACAAAGTCCAAAAGACAAGGGGCATAGGGAATAGTAGTGGCGGTGGCGAAGAGCACACAAGGAGCGGGCTTGTGGTGGAGCGCATGCGCATGGGCGTCACCTGTAGGCGTGGGCCGCAGCGAAGGCCGTCATGGCATGCAGCAAGGGCCCCGCCGACACGAACGTGAACCGCCCCTCGCCCGCCTCCTCAGCCGCCCTCCCACCGCCCTCCCGCTCGTGCTTGTGGCGGTGCGCGTGGGAGCGCAGCACGGCCTCCAGCGCGTCCACCAGCTCCACATACGCCACGTCCACCGACGGCAGGTACCCCGCATACTCATTCCCCTCTGCCCTCACCCCACCGCTGCCTCCACTGCCCTTCTCCCTGCCACTCGCCCCCCCTGGCTCCGTGCCCACCCCCCCTGGATGGCCCTCCGCCTGCTGCTCCCTGGCCAGGTGCGCGGCGCACACGCGCTGCCGTGACTCCACCACCGGGATCTCCTCCTCCCACCCGCCCTCCCCGCCATCGCCCTCCTCCCACGCCCCACTCACCACCCTCACGTCGTCACTCACCTCCTCCTGCCCGCCCCCCTCTGCGCTCCAGTCCTTGCCCCTCTGCTCTCCCTGCCCCCCCGCGCCTGTGAGCTCGGGGCAGAGCCACTCGAAGAAGGCGGTCGCGCCCACCCAGTCGTGCAGCAGGCCCGCCTGGAAGGGCGCTTGGTGGCGCAGCAGCAGATGCAGGAACGGGTGGTGCTGCAGGCTCAGGCGCGGGGCCAGGGGGTTGAGCAGAGGCGGCAGGGCGGGGGGCAAGCGGCTGTCAGGCTGGCAGGGGAGGGGAGGGACGCGGGGAAAGGGGTGAGACATGGGGCACTCTCTGGGGTGCTGCTCGCACGGCCATTGCTTTTGTTCTTGGCGCAAGCCGTCGGTACAGCGCAACAGTGAGAGGCGCAAGTGCACAGAGGACAGATGCAGGTAGGATGATAGGGCAGCGGTGAGTGGTGGTTGATGAGACGGCAAGAGTGGACGATGAGGAGAGAAGGCGAGCACCTGGATATAGTCGGTGAGAGGGCGATGGATGAGCGGCAGAGGGAGACCCTGCAGCGCAGTCAGGCGGCATGCCAGCAAGGAGAGGTTGGCAAGCAACAGGGAGCAAAGGGGAGGAGAGAGACGCGCTTGAGGCGAGCACGGGCGACCCAACAGAGGAAGATGGGATTACGGTCGGAGCGGAGCTCCATTGCCTACAACGGTATGCGCTCGGTGACATGCCGAGAGTCATGAGCTCGCAGCTGCAAGGGCAGTAGACGCGCCAAGCCCACGAGCCATGCTGCTGCACGAGACGCATACGCCCGCCTCCTGCTCTTGCACCGTCATCCACCTGCTGCTAGTGCTAGCGAGCGCGCCAATGCAGTGCGCGCAAATGTGTAACTGACGCGCTGCCACTGCCATGCGAGCATAATGGGAGAGGAGTATTGTGAAAATACCTGTTGAAGAAACGGCGAGCGCCATAAGGGCGACGGTGAGGGTGATGGAGGGGAGAAGAGATGGGGAAGGAATGGAAGGTGAAGGCGAGTGGCCCCCAGCACCACCACTGCCACCAAAGCAACAAGTAGACCGCCTCGACTTCGCTGCAGCGTCGCAGCCAACGGCCTCCGCTGGCGACCAGGAGGAGCCATGGGAAACGAGAGGCAAGCGATCCATCATTGCGACGGAATCTGTGAGTCGGGAGCTGCCTCGCTCCCTGATGCACACGCGCTACAAGGAGCTGATCCTTCTTGTGGAAACGGAATAGTAGATAAACGGTCGGGCACTATCATAAACCAGGTCTTTAACATTCTCCAAAAGGTTGAAGAGAAAACAAAGGGAATGGAAAACAAAAATGCAGCCGCAAGACATATAAATTTCCGCCAGCTATATCTGACAAGTGCATGGTACGCTACATGTAATCACACTATATGTTTGAGAGAGTTGATATGTGAGAAGAATATAAATTGGGCCTTTGTACAGAAGATGTGGCGAGGGAAAAGAGGAGAGGAGATGGTAAGAAAATAGTAGAAAGCAGTTAGGCATAATCGGGGTTCAGGTTTCAGTACTTATGTTGAGATAATAGGGCCTAAACATATCACGTTAAGGAGGACATTCATGGGGAGGATTTTGACGGCTAAAGAATGCCACCAGATCTTTCAGATTGGCCTCCTTCTGCGGTCAGGTGATTCCGTCGAGGGAATCATCCGCCAGCATGTAGGAAATCGCTGAAATTAGGGCTGCGTTCTGCAGGCAAAAAAGGAAGGTCGTGATTACATCAGAGCACCTTCCAAAAGCGCGAGTTTTTGTCTCGGATCCTCGGATCGAGGGTCAGCTAGAAAAAATCCTCCCAAACCTTGCACAATGTACCAGAACCTGGTTACATCGAGGTGCCTGCAGAACGTATCCATCTACAGATGACATTGACTGTCAGAAACCCAGCCACTAACCACTGGGTTAAAAGGGCTTGTTAAATAGCGGGTAAGTGCGCCCATAGCCCCCCAGGCTCTGCACCTGTGGCCCTTCCCCGAGGATCTCAAGGGCAACCCCAGCGGGTCACTCAACACCCCCCCCCCCGCTGGGATAGGTGGAAGACACGAGCGCCTCTGCAGCGCTGGCACTGGGAGTTGAACCCAAGACCTTTGGCTCTGATACCATGTCAGAAACCCAGCCACTAACCACTGGGTTAAAAGGGCTTGTTAAATAGCGGGTAAGTGCGCTCATAGCCCCCCAGGCTCTGCACCTGTGGCCCTTCCCCGAGGATCTCAAGGGCAACCCCAGCGGGTCACTCAACATTGACGTCACGGAAGCACACTCCCTCGCTCCCCACCCTGGCAAATATGACGCAGACTTGACACAACCCTGACGTTTGCTCAATGGCGGAGCCCACCTTGCGTGCGACATTACATCAGCCGCACAGGTGTACTACAGGGCTTACTTTTGGTTTTTAGTCACCCTTAAACAATTGGGCTCCTTGAGATTTTACCCTTAATTTTCAGGGTCCAGCGGAAGGCAACCCTTAATTATTAGGGTTCGTTCGCACAATACCCTTTTCACTGCCACGGTTAGAATCTACCTGGAGATGTATGGACAAGACGAAAAAGGCGTGAGTAACGTGCACGGGGCTGTGAGGGGAGAATGACGAAAATCCACTAAGTGAGTTGTCTCCCCTCTATTTGTGACAACGAGGTGTGCGTAACGTGTTGTGAGGGAAGAAGAACGAAAATCTACTAAGGGAGTTGTCTCCCCTCTGTTGGTGACTACGAGGTGTGAGTACTGTGAGGGGAGAAGAACGAAAATCTACTAAGGGAATTGTCTCCCCTCTGTTGGTGACTACGAGGTGTGAGTAACGTGCTATGAGGGGAGAAGAACGAAAATATACTAAGGGAGTTGTCTCCCCTCTGTTGGTGAGTACGGTTGTGATATAATTGATACTTAGCATTTCTGTAAGTCCATTAAGTGTAGTTAGTGTCGAATCTTACTGTAGAAGATAAGTCCGTAGGATGACGTCAGCAAATAGCGCTCGTCATAGGACAGTCGTTTCAGTCACGCGAACAGTCGCATCTCTTCATTATCATCTAGGGCGCATAGCGCGATAGTGACGAACAGGTACATTATCGAATAGGTACTTTTCCTAGAACTATAAATCCTTGTTAGGTTTTTTCATTATTAACTTTGATTACTCACAAGTTCACGTACTCAGGTTATTCAACCTTTGACTGTTACCTTTTACAAGACTTCCACTGTCTTACTAGTGTACCATTCCAGTAAAGATCCTGGACCAACACTTGAGGATTTCCAAATGTTCGTGTTTGCAGTTTTATACTTAGTCTTATATAACATTGGACAAGTTATTTCATGGTATGAGAGCTATCTGGAATTAAGACTACTGTCAACAATGACTGGTTCATCACCAGCACCGTCTGCCGGATCAACTTCCGGAACTACTGGAGTACATGTCTCCACGACCGCCACTGGTCTCTCAGCCTCTGGTCCGTTTCCACCAACCTATGCTCATAACGGTATGCAACAGCAGAATCCGCCTTCTGTTTACACTCTAGGTGTTTCTTTGACTGCACCTGCAGCGCAACAGCAACAATCACAGACAACAGCACAGCAACAAACGTCAGTACAGCCACCAGTTTCAACGCAATCAATTTCATATGCGTTTAGTGGAATGAGCCTTGATGGCTCAAGTTATATGCGTGGAGCCACAGCTCCAAGTACTGGTTGGTTCGCTTTCTCACCTTTTGTACAGCAGCCGCAGTCGCAGCAGTTTCAGCATCCTTTCTATATCTTCGGTCGTTCCCCTGCTCAGCAACAACAGCAACAACAACAGCATCATCAGCAGCCACAGCAACAGCAACAATAGCAACAGCCGGGTATTGTTTTTCAACCTCCAAATTTACTTAACAGCACACAGATAAAAACCACTATACCTTTTAACGGAGTCGACTTCTACTCCTGGAGCTTTGAGTTTGAGCTTCTGGCGCAGTCCGCTGGGCTATGGCCGTTCTTCACTGGCGAGTTCACGTATCCTGTCGTGGGAACACAACTGGAGCAGCAAAGTTTCTTGCACGCCTCTCTTGGGGCGTATACAATTCTTGTTCGAAACCTGTCGCCGAAGGAGCAGCTCGGCGTCCGATCATTTCACTCAAGCTTTACACCAGCCGAAACTGCTTGGAACCATTTGAAGGGGGTGTACATGGCAAAGGATACAATAACAGGGAGTAAAATACTTTCGCAGCTGACAAGTGTGCAGATGATGACAAACGAAAATGTCATGGACTATGTTAATCACGTCCGTACACTATGAGATCAACTGGAGAAAGGTGGAGGATACTTCCCTCGTGAGACGTATCTCACGGTCCTTCTTGCTGGTCTTGGACCCGAATGGCGACAGACGCAGAAATTCTTGCGAATGAACCCGAACCTTTCCGAAGCCGAAATCTCTTCATATCTTCAAGCCGAGCAGCAAGATCTTGACCTGCAGTCACAATGCAATCAGAAGAAAGGGGTTCATTTAAGTTTTTACTCCAATCCAGAACCACAGCAACGACATCCTCCAAAATATCCATTCTGCCATTTTTGTAAGAAACCAGGACATACTTACCAGAACAGTCGCAGCCGTCATCAAAATCGCCGCAACACTTCTCAGCCATATCACTGATCGCAGCAGTTACCGAAGACACAACAACCACCGCAGCAGTTAACGTCCCAGCAGCAGCAGATGCCGAAACCGCCTCAGAATCCATCGATGTCGCCGCATCGCCCGCCGGTCTTCGTATCTACCACATCAGGAAAAGGGGTTTTTGGATGTGTTACAACAGTCGATGTTTCAAAAACAGATTTCGAGGCACATCTTGAAGAAACTACAAGTGCTGAAGGCATTCCCTTACTGCAAGTTTACGCCAACCTTGCTCGAGTTATTTCAGGTCCCAATACTTGGTATCTTGACAGCTGTTGTGGTTGGCACATGTGTTCCTCCGAAACAAGCTTCATCACCAACCAGCGACCGCTTCGTCGTCCGATACCTGTCACAGTTGCAAAAGGACAAACAGTTATGGCACGTTCTGTTGGGAGCGTAATGCTCGAATCAATCGACACGGGGTACTCACTTCATCTTACCAATGTTCTAATTGTCGCCGGTCTTGGCTTCAATCTTCTTTCCATGGCTCAACTCCTGGCACACAAAATCCGCACACAGGGCAATTGTGAAACGATGGATTAGGAGCTATGGCACAGCCCAACAAATACTTACCTCGACCGTGCCGCTACTCAACATGGTGTTTCTGTTCTTCAGTTTACGGCACAAGGAACTTCTGGTGACTCTGAACGCATTCTTGCACTTGGTCCCTGGGATCATCCAGAAGAAACAGATTATCAGCAAGTGGATATTGATTTTCGAGCAACTACTATGCCAACATCTTCTCGAACTGCAGCTGCCGTACACACCGCCTTAGATACCTGGGAGTTTAGTACCGCCGATGCAGGCGCCAACGCTTGGCGAACCTTTTATACTACTCGCGAGGCTCTTCAAGGAACTCCAGCTCCACTTTGGGGTGAAATTAGCGGCCTTGCAGCTGATGAACCATATGTCGATAAAGAAGCTGAACAGGAAAAAGTAGCTGAGCAGCCGAGTCCACCAGTCGTTGTCGCAGAACCTCCTGCCACCACATCAACAGAAGCAGCATCAGAAGTTTTCGTTACAATTGCAGCAGCACCATCAAATGTCACGTTACCGCTTACCCGTTTCGTTGAAGGAGAGATTGACATGTCACCAGCACTTTCTCCTTCTATAATTTCTTCGTTTTATACTAATTCCGATTTCTACCTGCGATCATCAGGACACAAAGCCACAGAAGATATCTGGCATCAGCGGTTAGGACATCCGTCGCAAGGGATTTTAAATCATTCAATCCGCGCAGCAGTTCTTGATAAAAACAGTCTACTTTTACCTGACGGCACGGAGATGAAGCCGCTGTCTCGTCCCACGGTTTGCACCACGTGCCCGGTCGCCAACCTTACCCACGATCCGTTTCCAAGTCACTTTCATGGCTCAACTCGTTATAAGCTGATGCAGAAAGTTTACAGCGACATACTAAACTTACTTGAATCAGGACCTAAAGATGAGCAGTACGTGATAACATTCATCGAAGCATCTACACGCTACTCTGGACAGCAAACCTTCCCGCTCGTTATCTCGCTCAGTCCGTCTTCGTCGCATGGCTCGTCGTCGCTGAACGAGAG